AGGGCCCGCTCAGTGCTCTCTCTTACGTGTCTGTGTCCTCATTCCTCCCTGAGCATGTGGGGTTTTTCTTCTCCTCTCCATCTACCCCAAATCTAATAATTTTAGAAATTACAAAGTAAGCTAGGTGTCGTGTGACCGTGTAAAAACTAGGCTGAACCGCGCTCACTTGTGACTCCTTTAGCTGCCTCTCCTCTCTCCCCGGGGACACGCGTGGCAGTGGCAGCGGGAACCATTCGGGTTTTTACCTCTGTTCACAGCTGAGAAAAACTGACTCTGAGCACGGGGGAGCTCAAAGCTCCTGTGCTTGTCATGTAAATGTTACCTAGGTCATGTTACCGCAGTGTTTGTGCACGTGTTTACGACAAAACATTCATATGCCTCCAAACTGTACAGAGTCTTGTCACTTTTAATTTATTTTTTGCTCGCATTTCCTTAATACTTTCAAATTTTTAGTTATGGATGCATATTTCAAGAATTCTACTATAAATCTATTATATCCAGGACGTTCCATGAGGAAGCCGCAGTGTCGTTCCAGAATCCAACAGGAGGGGGAGGACTCGCACTGTTTTTTGGGATCAGCGCCAGTTTCTGACTAGGCTGGCGCGGAGACAAACCAAAAGCATTTGCCAACAATGAAGTTCTCAAAATTAGGGGGAAAAATATAAGCTATTGTGGAATTTCATACCTTGGTGTACGGAGAGGCAGATGCTGTTTAGATCGAGTTCTAGAGTCTCGCTTAATGTTGATGCTGCATAACAGTTAACTCTAGCCTTGGTTTCTGACGAGAGATTTATCACGCAGTTTAAGAATAAAAGCAGCAACAAGAAAGTTTTTGCAGGATTAAACAGGATCCCGTTACGGGATTTCACTAGCGAGAGCTCTTTCTGTGCAGCACACAGAACCTGGTGTCAATTTACAGGACTGGTTTTTCCCACAGCTTTGAGCGGCTAGTCCGTCATAGATCCACCCATAGACGACCTCCTTTGCTGTAAACCAGTAATTCCCTGCCTCCTCTTCCTGCTAGCATTTCAGTGCAGAAGGGCTGTGAAACTGAAGATTGAATTCCTTCAGTAGTAGTCAACATTTAGGGAAGAGGGAAACAATGCTTCGGGTGATTGTGGAATCTGCTACCAATATCCCCAAAACAAAGTTTGGGAAACCAGATCCTATCGTTTCTGTTATTTTTAAAGGTAAGCAAAACTGACATAAATGTAGCCAGAAGAGAAGTTTTGTGAAAGCTAGTGCCCTTTGTAAGTATCTGAAAATCTGGGAAATCATGTTTTCCTGGAATTACATCTGATGTAATTTTAGGGAAGACTTTTTAATTAGAGACAGGAGTTACCTGAATGAAGTTTGAACTGGGTGGAGCATATTGATCTGTTCTGAGCAGCTGTGCTTCTGTCTCAGGATCCACATTTTACAAGCTTTTCCAAAGGATTAACCTGTTGCTTTAAAAACAAATCTAATTCCGTGAATGAACCCACTTTTAATTCTGATATTGAAGATTACCTTGTTTTCCATCTGAAAAATCATTCCTGCCTTGATTACTTTGAACAGGCACTGCTCACTGTCACACTCATACAATAAAAATGTGATTTATTGTTGTTACAAGTAGTATACTGAAATAGCAGTAGTACTATTTTGGAAGGTATTTGATTTTGTTTGAGTTTGGTTTGGGGGTTTTTTTTGGTTGTTGTTTTTGGGGTTTTTTTCACAAACAGAGTTGCACATCAAAATTTTGCCTGTTGAGATTATCTAATGACAAGAATATGGAAGGAAACTGTATTTTTCTCTTTCATTGCTCATCAGTTATATATAGAAGAAGGAGAAGATTGTGATAAAGCATTTATATGTAAAGCTAAATATGTTTTAGATGTACTTTACTTGTTGCCAACATTACCTCACTTGGCTAGACTAGAGGAACTTGATTTCTAGTATTGATTTATTTTTAAGGTGCCAAAACCTTTAAGCAATTTTGGATCATGTAATACATCAAACCAAACTGTGACAAACAGGCATCTTATCTCCTGGTGACCTGGTTTCCTAACTGTGCTCTGAAATCCAAGTGCTGTTTTAAAGTGTGAAAAATCCTTGCAGGAGTTTGTCACCTTTAGAAACCAAATCTGAAATCATGACAGCTGTGGGATGAAAAAGGATGAGGCACTGCCCATGCAGAATCTTAACTTTCAAAGTAACAAGTTTTCAGATACATTTATTTCAGCATCAGAAAGATGTGAAATCATTCCATTTGCTTTAGTTTCCTCCTTTTTCTCAAGGTTTATCTGTTTTTTTTTTTTTACCCACCCTGTATTAGAAAAAGTGGCAGAGCCTGTCTCAGTAGCTTTTGGAACTTCATAATTGTTAAAATATTATTTCACTTGCCCTGCAAAAAGTGAATATACTGTCATTTCTCTGGTTTGTTTCACATTCTGCTACTTCTTAAGTATCCATTTTCTTTTTCCAGTTCCTTGTCTCTCTTTGTTTTCCTGCCAGTTTTGCCTTTCTGTGTTGCCTCTGTTCCTGCAGTTTTCAGACTCCAGAGCTGGTTTATGCCTTCCCTTCTTTATGCTTATGTGTCTGTTGTAAACATTTGTAAACATTTCTTCCGTGGGCTCTAATGCAGCTCACTTTTACCTAGTAAATAGAAGTTACAGATTTTTTTTTTCTTCATTGTTTGATTTGTTTTTCAGTCCTTCAGTTATCCAAACATAGGAATTGGATAACAGACATTAAAGGAATGAATTTATATTTATACTATATCCAGGACATTCCATGAGAAAGCCATGTACGAGAACTTGTACTGGCCATGCACTAGAATTTGGATTTTTAATGCTCCCAAACATGCTTAACCAGTCAGCTTCATAATTACAACAGGGTTTTAGTGGGATATTTTATTTCTCATTATCCTGCTGCTTCTGTTTATGTGATTTTACTACATACCAACAGTCTGATTTTTTGCTTCCTGTCCAGAGTGATTCAAGTGGGACGGAAAATACCAGGCTTTTACCAGCTATTAAGCAGCTCTGATTTAATTTGTGAGTGGAGTGCCTGCTACCCAGTGCAAGGACAGAGTCATATCTGAAATATGCTTGACTTCTAGCTGTTTATGTTTATAGATGGTTTTTTATATCCACTGCTGGTTTCCCCCTCACCCTGTTGATGTGTAGAGATGGGAAACCAATCTTATTTGGGGAAGAATATGTCAAAGGGCATTAATCTTTAACTTTAGTCCCTACCCAGTGTAAATCCTGGGGGACATAAAAAGCACATTTGGGAGTGCATATTCTAGACTGGGAAAAACTTAAACATTTGCAGGACTATGGCCATGGTCCTGCAGGAAATTTTAATGTTCTTGTTTGACTCTGGAGTATTCTTGGTGAAGTCTTAGTGAACAGCACTCATTGACAGAAAATTGCTGTGGAAGTTGGCATTTCATTAGAACACTATTTGGTCAAATTTTGATTTACAGGGCCTTTGTTGATGTCAGGTTCAGTAAATTTAATTCTCCCATGGAAACACAGTCTTTCAGTCTCAGACCTTTACAGACATTCTGTGAAGAAAAAACTCATGATCCTGCAACTGTTAGTATGAAAGAACTGCAAATGTTTTATATGTTAAGACATGTAAGTCAATATGGTTTCATCTATGAATAGAATAGATTTAATCCAATTTTTTAAACTAAGCTGGCTACAGAATGGGCAGTTAATATAATTGTTACAGTGATATATATTAGCTGCATATTAGGAGGAAATAGGCAGCTGTTTTAATTCTAATGTAGCAGAGGAATTTTATGCAAGCATTTCCCTTTTTTTAAAACACATTTATGTCCAGTCCAATGGGATGGAACTTTTATTTACTTTAAGAAAAGCTCACAGTTCAAAGAGAACTACACCCTGAGAGTAAATGAGTATCGCTATCTGGAACTGGGTGCTGTTCTTGCAGAATTCTGAGTTTTTCACTCAATATGAGACAATTCATTGGTCAAATTACCATGAAAAACTGTTGCAATTTGCTAAACTGGCACTAAGTGATAATTATTAAATCAATATAATCATTCTGGTTTGTTAGATTCTTGTTTCACTGTGTAAAAATTAATTCAATTGCTTGTTTGTGCAGTCAATGCTAGGATATTTAGTGCTTTGATAGTTTATTTTGGCTGCCTCATTCCACTTTATGCAGGGACAACTGAGATGAAATGGCATTTAATTTGATTAATCCAACTTGATTCAATCTGTGCTTAATCTAAGAGCTTTTCAACAGGCCTGCAGGCCTGCAGTAGTTCAAAATTATTTTAGTTTATATTTCAGTGTGTGGAAGAAAATAGTTTAATAGAAAATAGTTAAACTGGATATAAATTTTCTGTTTTGCAGATAGTTAAATTATCTACATTTAATTTCAGGGTTTTGGAGGTCTGCCCATTTGGTCCTACAGTTGCTGCCATCATGCAATCTGAATTCTCCTTTGACAAAAGTTTTATGGGATACTTAGTT